GATGGGTACTTTCTCTTCCACCCTCTAAGTCTAATGCCCCTCCCATCTGCTTCTTCTCTGATCACGAGACGCTGGATCACTTGATCACACGTACGACATCAGAGACATTGCAACTGCACAGAGACATTCTCTACTTCGTCATTGTTGAGCTTTCCACCTGACTGGGTTCATTGCATAATACTTAAAAGAGTATTTATCACTGATGAAGTATTTAATAACAATTTCCTACTGCACGGGTGTGGGACACGCAGCCCTAAGGGCCTATGTTTCTTCCTTTTTCATTAAGAGAGAGAGAGAGAGAGAGAGAGAGAGAGAGAGAGAGAGAGAGAGAGTTCTGCTTTACTGCAGCCTTTGAGCTGCGAAAACGGATGTGGGAATTCACTATACCCCAACCCCTGGTGAAATGATCCACCCCTTCAAAACTAGTTTTTGGGGTCCAGGTCAAACAGACCACCGGCTTTTCAAATTTACAAGCGATAGCTGCGGGTCCTCCGCCAAAACGCGAAGGACCAGTCTCTTGACAAATTCAAGCTCCAAAGACGCCTCCCTTATCCGCTGGTCACTCGGTGCGAAAATGCCTTATCCGCTGGTCACCCGGCGCAAAAATGTGCCACCTTGACACACACCTGAACCCACTATTCCACTGTCCTTAGGGATGTGAACAAGGGAAACTGGGTAATACTCCCAACATTCTTTTCCCGGTAGAATTGTGAGGTCGCCGATGCTTTTGTTGATGAATTGTGTAAAACAATACAAAACGATATCATCACTGGCCTGATCGGCCCCAGGTAATTCAAAATTAATTGTGTTCATCTGATTGCATTTGGATTCCAACTTGGGTCCGTATTTCAACAGTTCATGGGTGTACTAACTACTGGGTTAGGTCCCTCGGTGTACTCTCGCAATTCCCTCTGAGTTCTCCTCGAGATTCAAGAATATAGAGGGGCGGCGAAGGGTCAGATCCAAACTGGGCACATGGTCTGCGTGATTCAGAGGGCACCTAAAACAACTCCAGAGTGTGACTTTCAGTACTAGCCTGGCAAATCGCTAATCTGAAGCCATCAGTAAATTATACAGCGGCAACAGTCGCGGGTTGGCCTCCAGAGCAGAATAGGTGGCGGTGCCATCCAAAAGGAGGCCTGATCCCGTTCGTTTTCTTTTTCGGCGCGCAGGGCATTTCAGCCCCAAAGAAAACTACCACGAGATTCCCCAATTAGAGAGCAGTCCTGATTTTTTTTTCCTTCTTCTTTCTTTCTTTCAATCCAAGGGTGTTGTAGAGGCCAATGACCACACACACGGTGATTGCTGGCCCCACCCTGTCAGGACAACCATTGGTTGCCCGCTGCCAGCACTCTTGATTTTCTTCGGGTTCCAAGAGAGGTGTCCCTGCGAGCCCCATGATGTGCTAACTAATAGCTACCTGTCTGTACCGTTCAGCCATGGACGGAATTCGCCCCTCGAGTATTAAAACCTCATGGGGTCAGTCCTTGAGTAGGTTTCCATGTACTTGTTCTATAAAATATTGTCGAAGTTGTGATCAGGACACCGTGAAACGACAACATTCCTAAAAGATAATTGTTTTGTAGGATAGTGGAATGAGACCCTATTCTCACCACAGAAGGCTTCCAAGGACAATCTACGAAGTTGCCGGCCAGACCTCCAGCTGCAGAACTGAAAGCCTTGCCACAAATTCCTTTCGTGGAGGGGAAAGAAAGAAAGAGAAAACAGCAGTAGCCTTCAGATATGTCCACAGGTGACTGACTGGCTCCAGGGAATTCAGAGTTTTTACTGTTTTTAACTTTTTGTTACATAGGATTATTATTGCCCTTTTTATCTACGAGAAAATGATTTGTCACGACTCCTTTTCGACCTTTGGTTATCACAGGTATCCAGTGTTCCAAGGCTTAGGGTCTCGTCGCACGCATCCATAGCAAATTTGGAAAACTCGCCATCACAGTGCTCCCTCGTCTTATTTTCATTACCCCCCGCCCATGTGGTCAAATGGTACACATTACTACACACCTGAACCGCTAACAAACACACCAAAGTTCGAATCCACATGGAATCAGACGAGTAAAATAACTCTGAATTTTATTTACCTGGGGCCGGTCAGTTTCAATATATTTACCTGGGGCTGGTCAGTTTGACAACCATATCTCAAGGTCATTCTCGCCTTTTTAATCTCATTTTAATGCGCATTAGTAAACAAATAACATAATAAAAATGTAGGACAAGTCCTACAGACTATAACACGACACAGCCATTTTCGGTCCTGTGATCTGGGGCCTGCCATCTGCCGGTGTTTTAGACTGCCCACCCTTTTTTGCAGCTCAGGCATGCCCCGCTGGAGTGCAGCCGATTCTCCTCGAACTAAAGGGAGAAGAACATCGAGGCATATGCATCTATTGACTTTCTTGAATCAATTTCACAGTACTTGAGTCCTGTGTCAGTTCAGCCTATTTGATATAGCCTCCATCTGGCTGTTCTAACTGTGTTTGTCATTCTGCAAGCAACAATGGAAGCTTGAGTTAGGTTTCGGTCTATAGACGCAGAGCCACTGGTCTATCCAACCCCACTGCTGTCTGAATAACGCAGACAAGGTGGTGGTGGTCTTGGCCCTCACCGCCACTATCCTACTCCATTGCTGTCTGAACAATGAAGACACAGTGGTGGTCAAGTATTGGTCGTCGCTGCGCAGCTCACCAAATATGCAAAATGAGAATGAATCTTGCGCAAGGACATGGAAAGATACACGACCGTTATTTTTGTCTTCTGTGCATTTGGCGAGTGCTGCTGTGATCGGAACTATGTCAGAAGACTCCATCTACAGTGTCCGCATGCGAAATCGATCAAAATACCAAAAATACAAAATCCCTCTCCCTCTCACACTGTGACAAACTTCATTCGCATCAGTATGCCGTATTTTATTTCCAAGCCCCACTGGCAGATGCTCATTGTTTTCAATGATAAAGGTTAGAATACGCCTTTTCTCTCCCAGCACCAGCATCCACCCTGTCCTACAGGGTGGTTTGCTTCAGCCCTGAGAATACCAAACCAACCCACGCAGTACCATCTCACACATTCCATTGACCCAAAACTCAAGTTGTTATTTTTCACTTTGTTAAAAGGGCTACAGCTCTGAGATATCATCTTTGAACTGACCGGGCCCAGATAATTGCAGAGTTATTTCGAGTAGAGTTATTTCCACTCGTCCGATTTCATCGGGATTCAAACTGGGTTTTTTCTTACAACAGTTCGCCGGTGTACCAACTGAGCCAGGCCAGTTGGTAAACTCGAGTTTCTCTATTTTCCCCATCGAGCTGCTTTTTTTTTACACTTGCTCTCTTTACGTGGCTTTGGTTTGCGTCGTGCATGCATTGGTCGCATAAATTGCGACCTTCCTCTGAATCTTCCCAACGTCTTACAACTCTTTGCACTCCATCATTGCTGAGAATGCAATGAACCTTCCTTTGAATCTTACTCTGCAGGCAGGTGCCATGCAAAACAGTTCTGAGACATGCATCACGACAGCCACGTAACTACTGTCTTCCCCCAAACAGCATGCACCTGACCGATAAAATAAACCATTTCTGAATTTAAATCAGCTAATGTTTTGGGTGTGCAATACAGTCAGAATGAGGGTGCATTGCATTCTGGGGACAACACTAGTCGTGCCAAAAAAAAAACACTTGGCACCGGTACTGGCACCTGCAGAGTTGATAATGTCAGTAAAGAGATGTTCGTTCCATCGATGAGCGCCATCACTCCGCCTGCGCTCCATCTAGCAAGAGACCACATATTCGAAGAAAGCCAACCTGTCATGCCATGTCATCACCTACATAAGCCAATGCACAAACTGGCCCCCGGGAATGGCCGGTCCCTTTCAGCCCTAGCAGAAGCTCTACAGAAAGAGAAAAGAGACGGTCAGAAGACCACAAGTTGCAAACAGATAGAGAATACCGCTTCTGCACCACCATCTGCAGCTAGGGTCAGTCTGTAAAAAAAGGGGAAAACAAAAAAGTTAGGCCTGCCTGGACCGGACCTGCCCATGCTCTGTTCAACGAAATAGAAACTGGGCGGGACGTGCTCGTGCTCTGTTTTCTTTCGGCATTGCATTCGAGCGTTGCAGCAAAAGACAAAAAAAAAAAATGGTAGATCTTGTTCGGCTCGATCTGCATCCGTTCGAGACTTGTTAAAAGTTAATGCGGGTGTAACGGGGCAACCGGAGACCTGGGTCGGTTTCGGACATCCGCCTTAGCAGGAGCCACAGGGAGCCACAATTTTCTTTTCCGCTCCTGACTACATTCAGCATTGTGATCGAGCGTGGCTGCAATTTTTTTTTTTCGGTCCGGCTTTGTTGGGGACTGTCCTGAGTCCATTTGAGAACCCAAGAACGCATCTGCCCTCCTCTCCATTAAGCCACATGGGCTTGCCCTTTTAGTTTCTTTTCCTGGTCTGTCTACAGTTGATGACTGTATCATTGAGCCGCACGGGCTTTGCCCTCTTTGTTTTCCTTTCTTTTTTCGCTTTGTTTTATGTCTTTGCACAGGCAACCGCCTTGGGATATCAGCATTGAATGGACCGTCTGCTTCAGTGGAGTCCAAACTCAGGGGCAAGGTCACAGTAGCAAACAGGATTACATTAAGCGTTTGAATGCGAACATATTCTGCGCAGAGATACAGAAAAGAAGATCAGTGCAAGTCTCCACAAACACACCCAGACTCGGGCATTGAATCCAATCGTCTTTACGAGTGTGACCTCACCCCAGGTATGTTTTCCACTGGTTCAGGGGTGCTCACCTTTTTCTGTTTTTTTTTCCTTTTTTTGGTCCCTTCACAACTATACTATGTTCTTCTCTCAAATTCTTTTCCACCTTTTGCCACTACTAAAGCTATAAAGAGGTGACCCTTGCAACCGTGTGAGAGACTCTGACAGTGAGGGCCTCCCTCGACTACTCGCCACATGCACAAAGGACAAAATATGGCGGAGCATCTTTCCATGTCGTAGCATAGGATTCATTCTCATTTCCGCATAATCGGAGAGTCGTGGAGCGACGATGCCTTAGGCTATACGAAGGCCAAGACAGAGACAGAAAAAGTTGGACACAGAACAAACGCGGAGGTAGAGATAAACCGAGAAGCCGACCCTTAGAACAGGAAAAGAAGCATGGCAACAGAAAATGGAGCTCAGAAGGGAGGGGCGCACAAGCGAAGGGTGATCTGGACAAAATGACTTAACCAACCGCCAAGCAATCTACATAGCGTTGCTGACAAAAGTGCGCAACAACAGGAGGACAAACCGTATCGCACAACATTGCGTAGAGCAATACACAAGCAGTATCAACAGACGAGACCGACCATATGCGGTTCAAGAAGTTGGTACTCCTCTTACCGTAATGTCTCCGCAGCTCCTCTAGTCCAGAAGGAACGGAGTTCATAGTGACATTTTGGAGAACCCGGAGAAGTCATTTACAATAAGGAAAATTAGCAGGTCCTCAACAGCACCTGCCAAGTACAGAAAATGCATTTAAAGGGGATCCGAAAAGCCACATGCAAGTTAACCCTCCTGGCTGCATCCTTGAATTTGTTCTGTCGAGAATGGCTTTCTGTAGACACAACCATACAGTATTTTTAAATAATGAGGGTGATCATTTGAATCATTTCCGACATGGCTCCGACAAAGGTTTCGCTGAACAAAAAATTAAACCTGCCCGAGGGCCAGCCTTCACCTACGACATCTCTGTGCCTGCACACAGTCTTCACTGCATAGGACATACATCCCTCTGCAGCACAAAGGTCGCGGTGTGCATGATACTGTCGACTGATGTCCTTTTTAACCTGGAACTCTCGAGTGTAAACACAAACATTTCCTGGCTTGATGGATGCACCTGGTCCAGATTCTCTCCTACCACTAGACGCTGTCACCACATTGTGGAGCCAGTTGGCCCACACACAGATTTTCTCCAAGGACATGACGTATCGAACAAAGTGGAGCCAGTTGGCCCACACACAGACGACAGACAGTCCGCTGGTCATTTCAACAGGAAGACGTACCATAGTTTTGAAATCGTCCCTCCACTCAAATGGAGCAGATATAGAAAAAAGGTTCAGTAGCAACGACACTGTTACGACAGTCAATAAAGGGGGTGGGGGAGTGGGGGGGGGGGAATTATACAAGCTGGAAACACAGTCGTAAGATATGCACGGAGTTTTCCAACTACAAAAGAAACAGTCTTCCATCACTCTGGAAGCCGTTCCCACCAAGAACCGGTGTTAACATCCCTGCCTGCATCTCCTGTACAATGCTTCCTACCCTGCCTCTCCCTTCCTCCGTTCCCTTTCTCCGCGCCCTCATTCCTTGACCTCCTCCCTCCTCCTCCCCTCCCCTCCCCAAATCTATCATTTTCTTGAGTCTTCCTCCTCTCCCTCTCCCTTTCTGAGAGTCCATCTTACCGCAGATTTTACAAGCTGACCCTGCCCTTACCCGAGTACAGCCAATCCAAAACAAGCACACACGATCGTCAATGGGCATATGCTTGCCTTTCCCTCCGGAAATCGTTCTTGCCGTTCCTTCCGCATGCCTGCAATTCCCTACTCACTTTGAGACTCTTCCTGCATCAACTGCAAGGCATGACAAACAGCGAGAATGACAACGTCAATAAAAGCACGACTCTGCGCACAAATTCTTGCCCCCACAACCTTCTTCAATTCACCATCAGTCTTCGAAGTAGCTGACAGTAAACAAGACCACCACAGAAAAACTAGAATCGATCGGCTCCACCTGGAGCTATTCACTGAACAGACAGCCCTGACAAACAACAATGACACTCGGCAAGGCCGACGCTGTCAATGAGCACAAACCTTTCCTCAAACTGTCGATTGCAACATTCTTCGTCGGTCATAGCTGGCGGTAAACTAGACAACCAATGGAAATTTGAATCAACCCGCTCCACTTGACACAGACACAGAGCTCTGCGCGCCGTAAAGTGTGCCAAGAGTCACATCCAAAGCTTGCAAATCGATCGCCCGCTAGTCATGATCTACGCTAATCACCTGAAATTCCCTGAGCACCTGCCTGACCCATAGCTGGCAAGGCAGAGTTAGCTGAAGGATGCAAACTTCTGCTCAGAGCTACCGATAGTCACCTGAAATTCTGCCAGTGCTTACCTCACACACGTGTGAGTAACTGCTGTGCCATGGGAAACGCAAGTCCCACCAGAGCACCCAACTGTGTTCCGTAACTGTGAGTCAAAATGTTTTTTTATAGTCAAAATGTTTTTTTTTTCCGTTTTGTCTGTGTACCTGCAAAATCACAGACTGAGAAACCTGCTGTTTTCTGAGTTTTGCCGCTTGTTTGAGGTGAGTTGCTGAGATTCCCGTGTTCTGCTGAGATTTCTAAGTGCGTGTGTGTGCATGATTGCGGAGTTTCCGTGTGTTTGCCTGACGGCATGATTGCTTGGGTGTGTGTGTGTGACCCACCAGGGTACTCGTGTGGTGAGAAGGTCCCCGTGCCTGGTACTTACCTGTGGCCGTGCTTTTGTGAGGGAGCAGCAGGAGTTAGAAGCAGGCTAGGCCGCGTAGGTAGGAAAACACTCAAGTAGCAGGTAGGCACGCAGAAGACAACAAAAAGTGTAGCTTTAGAGGCCGAAGTGCATCTAGAGTCTGGTAGGCTTAGGAGGAAAGGTACCGGTAGAGCTTGGGAGGCCACGCGGCCTGGAAAGTGGCTGCCCAAAGAGGCAGTAGTCCAGTATGTCTTGGGAGGGAGCGAAGAGCTCTTCCTCATTTCGCACGGGGCAAGTTTGGCGACCGGCTGCTGGAATGAGCGCTCAGCTTGGAGGAGCACTGGGAAGGAAGCAGGTAGGCTTAGCATCCCACCTCAGCTATGGTTGGAAGGACCACGGACGAGTCTAGTGGGAGGTAGAAGGACGAGGAGGAAGACATTGGGCAAGCAGGAGGACAACGGAGGAAGTTAACATGGCTATGGTGGTCTGCATCTTCATCTTCTTGGTTGGCACTGCACCTGGAAGGCCCCAACTGGGGTTGACATCTTCAAGCGAGACTACGGGGTAGTAGAGGGGCATGGCAGCATAGCAGAATGGACGTGGTAGCTTTGCGTTGTCCTCTGAACATCGGAGTCTCACTCCCATAGTCCGCCATAGCCACCTGCTCGACATAGTAGAACGAAGGTATAGGGGATGCCTATGGTGGACCCTTGAGTGGCTGGCTCTGACATCGGTTCTAATTCATTCTTTCATTGTTATTATTATTGTTGTTGTTGAGAAGAGGTTGGGAGAGTAAAAGGAGGTTGGAGATGGTGGCGAAATGAAGGGGGATTAAATTGGTCTTCGCTGGTGTTCTTCTTCTTCCGTTCTTACTTCTTCTTCTTCAATTCTTATTTCTTCTTCTTATTTCTTCTTCTTCCCTTCGTATTTCTTCTTCTTCCATTCTTATTTCTCTTCTTCTTCCTTTGTCTAATTATCTTTCCACGATTCTTTCATTTCAGTTCCAATTGGACGGCATTGTCTTTCTTTGAGTTATTGCACTGCAAGATAGCCAGGAACATAACATCTGCCTTTTATTTTTTTAGCAAAGTTGTGTGCAATGCCGTTCAGAACTTGTATGCCAGCCTGTCTACAAGCTGCAAACATGAATCCAGACAAATGTGCAAGCACCCCCGCAAGACCACCCCACCACCCTCAAACCCCCACCGACACCATAACCCCCAACACTTCCCCAAAGAACACCCACATAAATACATTCCCGCGCCCCCCCCCAAAACCCTCCAAACCCAGACACCCAGAAACATTGATTTCACAGCTGTTTCCAAGTGCTCTAGTCATGCACAGGACAGCCCCACTAAAAGTGTCTCAGAACACCCAGCCAAAGAACTGCAGTCGACCGGTCGGAAGTCCACCAACCAGTCCGTCAGCCCAGCCAGCTACGGATCGGTCGGCACTCAGCATCAGTAATAAGCTGCCACGGAACCCTCACTGCTGGTGAATATAGTCAGCCATACTGGCCGGATGCGGTTCGGTCAGCAGTCCACATCAGTAATCAGCGGACATGCCACCCTGACTGTTGGTAAACAGATCACGAGTTCAAGACCCTGACGGAATCAGATGAAAACAATAATCTTAGGGGCTTAAAGAGAGAGCCAGTGATGAATAACAAATACACACATTCAGATGGTGGCAAAAGCAAGGCCGGCGCAATACACATACACTTGGACCAACACTAAACTGAAGCCAGGTACCGACGACATAGAACATAAATCAAGGGATTGAACCGCTTTTTTCCTTTCCTAAACAATAATTAAATAAAAAAAGAAAGAAAAGATAACTCACTTGATGAGCAAGCTTCTCCCCAGAGGCAGCCGCCATGGCCGCAGTCACCCCTTCAAGTCGTGATAGCCTCCTCTCGACCGTTGCATAGTACCCCTCGGCCTGTCAAACACAAAATCAATTACAGGATATGGGCTACCGCATCCTTAAGTCCAAGAAAACATGCCCGACTTGAACCATGACAAACATATTCATCAACTACCATCTCGTTGGGTGAACAGATACACTTCCCTTCCAGTATACCCTGATAAACCGCACAACCAGTCACCAGAATAAGAGAAATGGTTCACATGAGATATCCCTGACAATCCCATACTTGCCCCAGAGTAAGAGACATCAACGGTTCAGATGAGATATCCCTGACAATCCCATACTCGCCCACCTACTTTAGTGCATCTCCATGGTTACGAATCTGCACGAGTCCTCTCTCTCTCTCTCTCTCTCTCTCTCTCTCTCTCTCTCTCTCTCTCTCTGTGTGTGTATATGTGTGTCTGTGTGACGCAAACCTCCTTCCCTCCCTTCTCCCCCACAGCCCCTCTCTTTCTGTGGGGGGGGGTGGGGGGCGCAGCATACAAAAAGAACACCCATGACTGCTCCAATCTCCTTTTCTTGTTCGACTGCAACTTGGTCACTTCTTCTCTTTTTTCGTTTTCCTTCCCTCGTCTGACAATCATTTCTTAGTCTGACTACCGTCTTCACTCGAATAGAACGCCCGGTAATTATCACTGTATCTGGACTGGAAGTTGCCCCAAATACGGCTATAATGACCGGGCGTTTTATTCGGGTCAAGACGGTAATGATAATGCCGAAAGTGACCCCGTTGCCAATCACCAGCATTCCCATGACTACGAATGCAATCGTGCCAATGAGAAGAAGGATCGACAGACGACATAAGAAACATGGCATCCCATTAAACAAAAACAAACAAGAAGGTCTGAAAATCTCGTTGCTATCACAAGCTCCCAGCAATCCACAAGAGCGCCACGTGGACTCCCAAGCATGCAGGCTTTTACGTACACACACCGACATGAGGTTTCCATCCAGTGACATTTTTAGCGCACAGGCACATCGTCGGTCTTAGCCGATACCGATCGTCGATCCATCCACGTGCAAAGGCCGTTATCCAGAGTAGGATAAGGTGGACGAATCAGCAGCAGCCGAAGAGCATTATTAACGGAAAACCCTCGCCGGCTCACCTACCGTCTTCCCTCTCAAACCGCATGCAGAGTCGTTCCTGCACTGAAGTGCCTATCAGGATCAGCAGCGATACAACATTGGTGATGCCCATGCGTTCAAAGGGGAAACAAACGCGATGTCCCCCATTGTCATTGACATGCTCACTCCGATGTCTATCATCCGGAGCTGTCAATGTACCTGGTCGTGAGCACTGACCAGAATAGGACTAGGCGGACGAATCAGAAGCAGCCGACGCGCATTATTAAGGGAGAACCCTCGCCGGCTCACCTACCGTCTTCCCTCTCAAAGCGAATGCAGAGTCATTGCTGCACTGAAGTGCCTATCAGGATCAGCAGCGATACAACATTGGTGATGCCCACGCATTCTAAGGAAAAACAACCGCGCGATGCCACCCATTTGTCATTCACCTGTTCCCTCTGGTGTCTATCATCCTGAGCTGTGAATGTACCTGGTTGTGAGCACTGTCCAGAAATGTACCGCCGCGGAGATTGAGGTAAATTTCAGACAGACTTTTTGGGCACCAGTAAGGCCTTCCGCATTTGATTTATTCAGGAGAATGTGGTCGTGAGAATGCGAATTCAGCCCTTCCGTCCCTTGGCGGGTGTCAATTGATGTTTGTGCTAATGAAAGGTGGTGCGGGATTGAGGACCCTGACTCCACGACGTCGATAAAGTGACTGCGGGTGGGTGCTCTCTCTCTCTCTCTCACACACACACACACACACACACACACACACACACACACACACACATGCGGGCGCGCGTTCTCCTTTCTGCCTATTCTACCCCTCTCTATGAGCATGTAGTTCTGTTACTCTTTCCTTGTTCTTTTCACCACCTTGACTCGCAGCGCTCTCCCTATCTTTCCCTGTCCGTCTCCAGTACCTCCCTACTATATTTAACTTCTCTCTTTCCTCTCTCCATCCCCCCCTTCGCCCTTTCTCTCCCTCCTTCCTATCTTCTCAACCTTCGATGTCAGTCTTTATCTTATGTCTTCCTGTCTGGGTCTATCTGTATGTCCGCACGCCCTCTCTCTCTCTCTCTCTCTCTCTCACACACACACACACACACACACATACACACACACACACAAACACAAACACACACACACAAACACATTCTCGCTCTCGTTCTTTGTGTATATATGTGTGTTTCCGGTTATTCAAACTCCCATCGGCCATTTCCAGTGGCAGATGGGAGAACATCGCCGGAAACCAACTGCAAGAGGGTTGGGTGCTCAGCTTTGGAATCACGCTGACCGCTACAGCAGCGCTCTGCTGCTCATTTATCGATCTTTCTTTCCCGATTATCTGCGTGGATGGACGACCCAACGCGACGCTAGGACTGCACACGGGGCGCCAGTTCTTCCAACACCTAAAACAAACAGTCAAACTAGATGGGATGACATGTTATACAGAGATATGGTGGGGGCTCCCGAATTGAAAACCCAGCAACCTGAGATACGCATGTTATCAGGATACAGCAGCCGGATAATATCTAGCACCGCGGAACGGAAATGTTTCCGGCAGGAGATACGCACGGCGATACAGACGGGAGACTGCACATGGCGGCCAGTGCACACGAGCGCTTTCCACAAAAACAAACAAACAAAAGAGAAAGAAGAGGAACCGAAAAAGGGGAGAGAGGGGAGAGAGGGGAGAGAGGGGAGAGAGGGGAGAGAGGGGAGAAGGGAAAGAG